ACAGCTCCAGAAGCCACCCTGTGGCTGGTGCTGGCCCGTGGTAAGCTGAACCCAGACCCAGTCAGCATCCCGACACCAGTGGGCAGTCGTCATGAAATGCGACTCCAGCAGAATTCCTCGCTGCTGCCAGAACAAAAGCATTTTCAAAGCCTGGCGGTCCAGCTGGAGGGCCGGCATAAGGCCCAGCATGTTCAGACCACCAGCCCAGAGCCTGGGACCCACACGTCCCTCCACAACTAGGGAACGAGAGGCTCGCACTGGTGGGGCTGGGCACGGGCCCTGATGCAGGCCTCCACCCTTCCTCTGCTTTCATGGAGAAGCCTCCAGAACACAAAAGTCCTGAATATTTCACCAGTGGGTATTTCCAAAGGCTACTGTTCCAGAGACAAACATTTAAGCTCTTTCCAGTCCTTTCTCTCCCTTTTTTTCATTTGTACAATACTAGTCCACCTTCTTCCGAGGGGAGATGGACAGAACAACATTTGCCTGTTATTCCTGTCATCCTTTCAAACTTTGTGTCACCAAACACTAAATCTACCCTCTGTCAGATTAAAATCGTTACCCTGTGTTCTCTCACTAAAGGCCCTAGTGAAAAGCATTTCTCCATCTTCCTTATAAGCCCACAATATATATTGAAAGGCTGCTATAACGTTTCCCCAGATTCTTCTCTTCTCCAGGCTGAACAAGCCCAACTCTCTCAGCCTGTCCTCATACAAGAGGTGCTCCAGCTCTCTGGCCATCTTTGTGGCCCTCCTCTGGACCTGCTTCAACAGGCCCATGTCCTTCTTATGTTGGGGGTCCCAGAGCTGGACGCAGTACTCCAGGTGGGGTCTCATGAGAGCAGAGCAGAGGGGGAAAATCACCTCCCTCAACCTCCTGGTCACACTTTTTTTGATGCAGCCCAGGACAACGGTTGGCTTTTGGGGCAGCAAGCACACATTGCCAGGTCATGTCGAGCTTCTCATCAACCAAAACTCCCAAGTCCTTCTCTTCAGGGCTGTTCTCAATCCCTTCATCCTCCAGCCGGTATTGATATTGAGGGTTGCCCCGATCCAGGTGCAGGACCTTGCCCTTGGCCTTGTTGAACCTCATGGCTTTGCACAAGCCCACTTCTCAAGCTTGTCCAGGTCCCTCTGGATGGCATCCCTTCCCTCACGTGTGTCAACTGCACCACTCGCCTTGGTGTTGTCTGCAAACTTGCTGAGGGTACACTCAGGCCCACTGTATGTCATTGATGAAGATATTAAACTGTACTGGTCTCAATCTAAACAGGTTAAGCAGGATACACACTCTGTTTCTTTGTGCGTAAACACCAAAAAACCACTGAGTGCTGTTGGACAAACAAGCAACTTAATACTCGGGGATGGAGACTGAGGTTTGAATCCACCTCTACTCACTTAGCATGAGAGTGTTATGAGGAACAATGGAAATGGGAGGCATACTTACACTTCACTCAGCAAAGCATGGTCGCTGGCAGTCGTGGAGAAGTGCTGCTCGAGGATAGACACGGTTCCCGTGAGCGCCACATGGCCACAGCCACAAAACAATGCTACCCCCGAGAAGCAGAGAATGGTTGCCACGAGTGAAGCATATGGCACTCCTCCTAGGCACTTAATGCAACATTCAAAGCAACCTAAGCAGAAAAGAGAAAGCAAAAGAAATGTTATGAGCAAAAAGCAAATTATGAGGAAAAGAATATCTGTCCTCCACTTGGTAAAAGCCATAGGGACTAGAAGGCCCAGGCATTGACCTGATAAGCAAAAATCTATAGGTGGTGCAAGACAGCATCATCCTCTAAAGCAGTGACCTACAGATCTGTTGGTATGGACTCAAAGCCCAGAAAGGGGGCTGAGTGCTCCTATCTTTACAGGATCAAGAGGAGATCAATGAGACAGCCTATGAAATGGAAAAAGAAAAAAAATCACTCGTCTAAAGTCATCCATTGTGATTCTGCTGCTCATACAGAGCTTACTGCGTTTCACCATTACTAACGGCAGGAGCCCCAGCTATGCTGGCACCATTCAGGAAGCCAGAGAAGCAAACACTCAAAACAATGAAACCTTTTGGAAAAGTACAAGATACTTTGCAGTTTCATTGGAAGAGGAACACACACTTAGGTCTGCAAAACTTAACTGCCCTGTACTCTCCCATGGCTCCCAAGTATCTTTTTGTATAAATCCGTACAAGGTTATAGGGATACAGATATTTAACAACAGGAAAATTGAATGGGGCCCAAAGAGTAGCAATTTTTATCGAGCAGCGAGATGAAGCTGTATTACACAGACAATACATTCCCAGCTTTATAGGATACACTGGATTTACAGTGATCCTTGAATATAGTCTGCAGGAGCATAATCATAATTTTAACTAAATGTATTGTTTAAGCAGTCTGAATTAACAAAACACCCCCCCAGAACTGCTGCTCTACAAATGCTGTAATAAGGAGGTTGCAGCTGAATTGCCAGGTCTCCCAACCACACGGCCTGAAAACCCATCTGCTTGCAAAACTGGGAAATTTAAATCGGAAACAAACACAGCTTTTAACTGCGCTATAATGGTAATGGCAATCCATACCAATTCATTACTTCAGGGTGATGGCATTAAGCTGTCTCCATTAATGTGCATTTCATACAACTGTTCAAAACACAAGCCATTAAGACAACGTTTAATGGAGCGACCAGCGTTGCACATCGCAGGAACAGCCTGCTGCTTCTACAGGGAAGCGCTAAACAGACAAAACATTTGAAAGCAGGGAGACAGCTGGCAAACGCATACATCACATCACATCTTCCAGCCCCAAAAATTTCTCGTGAAGATCAGCAAGTCTCCATCCACCACATGAGGCAAGTTTATTTTTATCACTCTCCCTTCCCCACAAATGAATGAGTTGCAGAACAGGCACTTTCTTGAAGCACTAGGGAATAATAAGCATCTGATAATTGAAAGCTTTCCCATTTCATAAGTTGGAAACTCTCCTTTTAGAGAGTCACCAGCAAGCGTCCCTGTCAGGCTTAACCAGCTATCACTACTGAAATTACTTATGAAACGCCACTTCGCTAACTGCAGACAAAATTTCATTGTACAGAAACAAGCCTGGGAAGCTTTTATAGTCAAGCCCACAGCTGGAGTCCACTTAGTAGAAACTATCTTAATGACAGAAGTACTGCTGAATGAACAAACACTGCAGCTTAGCAGTGACAGGGCAAACAAAATCCAAATGCGTGCTATCAGAGGAAATCACCTCTGGTTTTCATCTTATCACACAGGTCCAGAGTTAAGTTCAGATGCCAGACCTTGCAGAGCGATCCTCTGCTTTGGGGAATCTGCCCGAGTATAGCTCATAAGCCAGACGCAACGGCAGTTGTACACGTGAGGCTGGCTCGCCTCCGCAGCATCTGCTTGCAGGTCAAGACCAAACCTCTGAGAGTTAATCCAAGAAACACTTGCACCTGGCGCAGGATTAGCAGCAAAGGATTATCCAAGAGTAACCACGCTCTGATCCAGCAGGCAGTGCTCAACACATGCGTGGCCACAGCCCAGCACAAAATGAACGGCCTTTCGGGCCACACTCCTAAAGAAGGTGGTGACTGAGCACTAGATCATTGCTTGCTGTGGAGGAGGTTGATCACCTAATCGTGCTGATCCATAGATTGCTTCAGAGAAGGATTCCATCAGACAGGAAAGACAGGAAATGAGAACAGCTAGGAATCAAAGCCAAGGGACTGCCAAAGTCCGAAAGAAAAGCTGCTGGCTTCAGAAAATGGGGGCAGCCTGCTTGACAAAGCTAAAAGTTGTTGTAGACCCAGGAGTGATGATTAACACCCCATAATTAGGTACCTGTCTTCCCAATACCCTGTACTGTACAGCCAGCTGTCCAGGCCACCATCAGAACATTCGCCCTGAAGAGTTTGTTGGATCCCTGACCTGAACACATGGCAGTGTCTGCCACTAATCCCTGGAACACAAGCCGACAGTGGCAAACCCCCTTTGACCTCCCAGCAACTGGCTGCTGCATATAGCATCTTTGTGGCCATACTCTTTATGTTCTCCTCTACAAACCAAATAAAAAGGCATCACAATATTTAGGTGACCTTCATTTTATCAGTGCAGACCAAGGCCAACAGATGCCCCGAGAGGTGTCTAAAGCAACCCCACTATTTTGAGCAAAGCAAAGAAAACCGCCCAAACGTGGGACTGCAGAAACTACTCGCCCTCACACCAAGACTAAGGCGTAAAGCAGAGGGACTTCAGTTCACAGGGAAATAGCACGGGTTTAGGGAAGCACCCTAAACCAGCACGTTTCCAAGAGACAGTACCCATCTCCACACAGTCATTCTGCACCCAAACTGACAGCAGAGCTACATAGCCTCCTACCTGAGGGTAACTAATTGTGGGATGCAACCTCATTACGGTGCTGAGGCTGCCAGACCCTCCCCCCCCCAGATCCCAGTGTGAACACTCTTTATGAGGAGCTTAAATCCATGCCTAGCCTGAGCAATAGAGCTGGTTTTATAATTTTGTTTTAAAGCAAGCCTAAAACACTAGTGCCAAGAGCAGCTTTCAAAACCAGCTAAATTTTGAAGCTCCTCAAGCACTTAGATATGCTTACCAAGCTTTGCAAACTATCACTGATGTAGATTGGAGGATTTTTTCAAAACACTAAACCTTCCCAGGCAACCTGCTTTATGGTCTCTCTCTGTAACCCCAAGTCAGCAAGTATCTTCATACAACTGAAAATCCATGATGATGTTTGCCTAGTTCATGCTTGTAAAGTAACTTGCAAACACACCGATGACAACTGCAGGCTGAAGGCCTGTGAACTCGAGCTGACAAAAGTAAGTAGTATTAAAATAAGTTTAGTTCCAATTTTCTGCTAGTTTTTACTTTCCATATGGCAAACATGCTGTACTTTTCAACTGTATATCCACTTCCAACAGAGCAGTGTAAAACGATTTAAATATGAAACTGTACAGCACAAACACACATCACTGCATCTTCCCTTTCAATGGCCATTTTGTGGAAGGCATCACTAGAACCTTTTGTGCAACTCAGCAGAATAAAAACATTTTTTGTCCTCAGGCTGGTGAGCAGCAGTTGCCATGGAGGCAGGTTAATAACAGCCCAATGATTTGCCCAGAGCTGCCTGTGATCTTGGCTACAGATTTAACACACTCTCAGAAGGAGGCCAGCTAGAACAAGGACTGAGATTATTCTCTAGGGAATGAATGCTATTAAACACACACACACACAAATATTCTTGCTAAAGGACAAAAATAAAGAGAAGAGAAAAAACAGGAACCAGCTATTCTTTTAATCTCTTGGAAACTATCAGTCACAGGAAATTGGTAAAGGATGAACCTACATATGTACACAAATTGGCACTTGGTTGCTTAATGTATGAAGAACAATTATACAATCTACCCAGCAGTGTACGGGCTATTGCACATATGCAGGGGCTTAGCCATTCAATTTCCCATGTCAAATGGCAACTGTGTAGATACTTTAAGTACAGCTTTAAGATTTGAACTCAGAAAAGCAAGGTAATGGAGAATTAACGCAAAGCGGTCTTAAAAAAAAAAAAAGCAATTCTCCGACTCTAACTTATCCCACTAATGTCCTGTGCTTTGGCAATGACAAAAGACAATGCAAAGGGATCAGGAAGTTGTCTTGAGTATTCCCAGGGCTTGCTCTAGGGAGTTCACATATCAGCTCTTGAAGCCCAGACTTGAAAAGCTGAGACAAGACATATGTTCACAAAGCCATCCCTCAAAGCAAAGCATGGAAAACATGATATACGGAGTGTCCACACCTCCTGGACAGAAAACCAGCCCATCCTCTGATGTCCCAAACTCCTCCTAAGTTGAACTAGTGCCTCAGTGTATCTCAGGTAAGAACCATTGATCCCATAGTCAAGGTCACTATGGAACAAAAACCATGGAACAAAGAAAACATGAAAGGAGGTTTGAAAAGCTTTCCATTTCAGAGAGCTAAACCTCCAGGCTGTGGCCATTTTCTGAACTAGTTTCCACTCTCTTTTCTTTAGAAGTCTCATTTCTTCCACTGTTCTGAAAGATGAAGCAATGAGCACCATTTTTTCCTCATCACTTCCTGTAATTGTGTAATGTATTTTTAGAAGTCCTGGCATGTTGGACACTTGTCCAGTTAATACGTGGTAGAAATTATACGGCATCTTCCACCACAGAACCACAATCTCTGTTGACTTCAGCACCACTGCTCAAACACCATGTGTGGAGGAACTGTTTTAACAAAAAGAAGGTTGCAAGAGGCCCAAGGAAAGAAAAAGCACTAGATAACATCTTAAAATGCAGTCACACGTAAATCAGGCTCATTATTACATATCCAAGGGAGCCTGGTGTTGGGAGCATTCCTCTCAATTCACAAATAGATGTAAGAGGAAAACTCAATACTTTAAATTCACCCTGTCTCCCCAGAGCTGAAGATTACCCAATACCAAGACTGCATAATACCACTGGAGTCCTAAACCACCATGGATCTTTGTCAGAAAACAAACTTTATGTCAATGGAAGCAAATGCCAATTTTACTTTCTGCCACCTACTGTATTTTTTAAAATCTCCAATCTGAATGGCTTATGTGTGCTGGGATGTACATTT